TTCCTTCCAAACCCAGTTTGCTTAGAGTTTTCATCATGAAAGGGTGTTGTATTTTATCAAATGCTTTCTCAGCGTCTATTGAGATAATCATATAGTTTTTCTTCCGCAGTCTGTTAATGTGGTTTATCACATTGATTGTTTTACGGCAACTTTTGGTCACCATGCACATAAATGCAACATAAATGAAATGCACAATTCCTTAAACACACAAATTGTTTTCTTACCTAATATAAAACATATAATATGTATATCCCTGCAACTATTAAGGAAGGCAAAGTCATAATTAACAACTCTCTGAAATGAAACCACTGAGGCCTATATGGTTTCACTGGAAAGTCTACAAAAGATTTATGAATAATTACTAAAAATATATATAATCATTTTCAGAAAATAAATTGAGAGGGAACAATTTAATACATAAGTAAATGGGGGAAAATGAAAATATCTTCCTTCAATGGAATTCCAATAATTGAACATAGAAAGAATGATGAAAAAGATAAAATTTGATGAATAACAAAACTGTCGGTGATAGACTCCCCAAATTCTAAAACTATTGGTTGAAAACATAAAATTAATGTGCAAAAAAAGACACAAACATTTTGCTTAGTGTCAAATTATATCTCCACAAGAAACTAATCTGGTAGGGAAGCATAGTAATAGGTCGGTTTAGAAACCTCTCAACTGTTACCTCACCCCCGTGATCACAGGAAACATTGCTGGTGATAGTGTACACCAATAGGACGGACCTCAGCATACGGTGCACCAAGACGAGCGTAACAACACTTCTCTTTCATTCCCACCAAAAAATCACAGATTTAATATGATCATGAGAGACCATCAGACAAATCAAAAATGAAGAGCATTCAACACATTAATTGGCCCATGCTCTTTAAAAAAACTGGCAGGGTTCGAAAAGACAAAGAATTGTAAAGGAATTTACTCAGATTGCAGGATCCAAAAGAGACATGGCAAGTTTGTGGGATGGGAGCCAGGGCAAAAGGAGACAAAGGCCAAAGAATACAAGATGCACTTATCTTAGTTGAAGAAGTCTAGGGGAGCAGGCATTTGGTGAGTGCTTGGGACTCATCAGCTTCTCATGTTAGAGTACCTACGTTCAGGTTGTGGCTTCATTTTCAACTCCATCTTCCAGCTAAGGTGCCCTATGAGACAGCATGCGATGGCTCAAGAACTTGGGACCCTGCCACCCACACAGGAGACTTGGATTGAGTTCTGGGTCTCTGAAAAAGTCTGCTCATGCCTTCTAATGTAATCACTGGTGGTAACATGCTATTACATTACCTAGCTTAATTTTATGACATATTGCTCTTTGTAAATATCTAATATCTTAATAGTTTGTATGTTTACTATCTGTTCTACTACTAGAATAATATCAATATGGAAAGAAATACTACCTATTATTTTTATTATTATACCTCAGATCCTACAAAGGGAAGGATCTAATAGTTGTCTGGTGAGAATTTTAGACTAATACTAGGAGGTGAATTCACATTTGAAGGCATTGACTTCTAAGAAGAGAAGGCACACCTACCATTCTTATGGTGAAAAGAATAGGTGCAAATGAAAGAAGGCTTGCATATTTGGTGACTGGAAAACAGCACAGCTCACAGAGTCACTAGGTAATTTAAAGGAAGAGAAGAGGAATAGAAAATTTGGAAATTGTTATATTATCAAGTAGGAATTTCAGGGCCAGCATTGTGGCCCGGTGGGTGAAGCTATTGCTTGCAATGCCAGCATCCCATATTGGAGTGCTGGTTTGAATCTTGACTGTTTCTCCCTGTTCAGGTTCCTGCTAAAGCAGAGGATGATGGCCTAAGTACTTGGACTTCTGCTACCAATATGGGAGACCAGGATTGAGCTACTGGCTCTTGACTGAGGTCCTGCCCTGCCAGGTCATCACAGCCCTTTGGGAAACAAACCAACTAATCAAAGATCTCCTCTCTCTCTCTCTCTCTCTAAGTTTTTCTCTCTGTCTCTCCCTCTCTTCTAAATATAGAGTTGCAAAATGGAGAGGGTTAGAGGATTGGCTTACTATAATATTAGAACATTAACTGCTTATCTAAGTTTGAAGTTTATGAATATATGATGACACTTATTTGCCAAATTTAATGATTTTGTTCAGTACTAATCATTCCAAGCAGAAAGGTAGCTATAAGTGCCATCTTTGTACTTTCAGGCCAATATTACAGAAGGAAAGGAAGGCATGAAAGTGAGAATATTTACAAAGCAATATATTTAATGATGAACCATGCTATAGAAGCCAGATGATCAGAGAAATAAAGACAGAAGGAATTAATAAAAGGAAAAGAGTAAGATTTAAATCAAGCTAATCTGATTCTTACAGGATAGAAGAAATTAAAAAAGACAAGACTAGTATGATTAGAGAATGGGATAACACTCACCCTGGGAGCTTGTTGATCTTCAAGTTCTGCTGTTGAAAATTTCTTTGTTAGAAATTTTTCTACTACTAGAAAACTATCCTAATGGGAAACTCTGAAAAACCTTAAGAGTTATCATGAGAGCAGAAAGTAAGGAGAGAATGTATACAGTCATCACTGTTACCACATTTCCAGACACAGAACATGAAAGAATATGTTCTATGTGCATCAAACAAAATGACCTTCATTACGTGATTCATAATTTTTATGGTTCCAGTGTCTGCCTCATGCATGTGAGGAAAAACTACTTTTAAAAAATTACTATCCTAGTAGTGCATTATTTTAGAGTTAACTATGCATGTGACAAAATATATAGACTATGTTAGCATTCACAATTTATTTCATATTAATCACATCGACAGATTGCTCAATGTGATGGGTGTTCACAAAAGGAGAAGTGCATAACGTGTGATGTTGGATGATTATGACAGACACATATGACTCGCAATTAATTAGCGGTAAAAACAGATAAGAAACCCCCCCTACTTTACCAAACAGTCTCTTAGCATACTGCCCCAGTCATTTTATCTTACTGAAAAACTGTCATGCAATTAAATCATACTAGAATTTAATGATTCGCCTTTGAATAAATATTCAAAACCAATAAACTAATTATTTTCAAAATCAAAACTAATCCTTCATTAAATGCAGTAAATCCAAGTGAAAAAGGTAATTATTTTTTCTCATATTAGTGTTTAATTTACTTTTTGTAACTATACTATACCTTCAGTATTTTAACTTCTAGTAAACTTCTAATAATCAAGACGATAAGGGTTAGGTTGCAAAATACTGAAGAGGTGAATCACCGAAGAGAACCTGACACCTAAAACAAGATTAGTGAACTGACACTGATTGCTTCTTAAACATCTTCATTCATCCATTCAACCCATATTTATTGAGCTCTCATTGTGTGTCTTGCCTAGTCCAGATATTTACAGTTCACCAGCATATAAAATGAAAACTCCTTCCCTCAAGAGACTGACTTTCCCAGCAGATTAGGAGAGAAAACAGGTAGGTTGCTAACAAGAAACACTAAACCTATATTTGTAGGTAGAAGGTAAGGAAAGTTGGAAGGTGACCACTGATAATGTGAAAAAAAAAAAAAAAAAAACATAGAGGTCATTATGGCCCACATTGTGGGACAGCGGGTTAAGCTGCCACCAGCCAAGCCAACATCCCATAGGCGTGCCACTTCCAGTTCCTGCAGCTCCACTTCCAATCCAGCTCCCTGCTAATGCACCTGGGAAGGTACTGTAAGATGGCCTGAGTTCTTGGAGCCCTGAAGCCATGTGGGAAACCCACATGATGCTTCTGGCTCCTGGCTCCTTCCTTTGGTCTGACCCAACTCTGAAAGTTTTGGCCATTTGGGGAGTGATCTATCAAGTAGAAGATCTCTCTCCCTCTCTCTCTCTCTCTCTCTCTTTCTTTCTCTCTATCTGTTTCTTGCTCTCTCTCTCTCTACCTCTGCCTTTCAAATAAATAAATAAAATAAATCTTTTTGAAAAAAGAAAATGTACAGCAGAGAGCACAGACGGGAGGAGAAGGCGCATGGAGAGTTTTGCAGTAATCATCCAGCAGAGCTTTTAATAAGAAGATGGAGTCTTAGCAAATCATTGTTTAACAGTATCTGACTTGAGGTGCTCAACAACATTTAAGCCTCACTTGTCCTTCTTCCTCTTGTGCCCCACATCTGGACAAACTGAGAAGCAACCCCAAGTGTTAGGGGTGGGCATTGTGACACAGTGGATTAACCCAATCCCAAATATAAGTGTCTGGTTCAAATCCTAGCCCTACCTCAAATTTATCTTCCTGTTAATGTTCGAACCAGGTTCCTGTCATCTGTGTGGGAGACTCAAATGACACCAGTTTTTGGTTTCTGGCTTTGACCCAGCCCTGTCGCAGGCATTTGCAGAGTGAACCAGCTAGTGAAAGAATCTCTCTCTCCCCCTCTCCTCTCTCTCTCCCTTTCAAATGAATACAATAAATAAGTAAACTGAGAAGATATGCTTCAGGACATTTTTATCCAGTCCCACTCACCTGCCAACCACAATGAAACTCGGAGCCAGTGCCCTTCTTCAGACTGTCTCAGGCCACTTGGATTAGCTTAATTGATATCTAATGCACAAAATATAAACGTCACCTTTATATTTATTATTTTTTTTACAGGCAGAGTGGACAGTGAGAGAGAGAGACAGAGAGAAAGGTCTTCCTTTTGCTGTTGGTTCACCCTCCAATGGCCGCCGCGGCCAGCGTGCAGTGGCCAGCGCATCACGCTGATCCGAAGCCAGGAGCCAGGTGCTTCCTCCTGGTCTCCTATGTGGGTGCAGGGCCCAAGGACTTGGGCCATCCTCCACTGCACTCCTGGGCCACAGCAGAGAGCTGGACTGGAAGAGGGGCAACCGGGACAGAATCCGGCGCCCCGACCAGGACGAGAACCCGGGGTGCCGGCGCCGCAGGCAGAGGATTAGCCTATTGAGCCATGGCACCGGCAAAAGTCACCTTTATTTGCACATAAAATTCAGCAATTTCTCATATATCCAGAAAAAAAATATGGGGCACTCCATGAATCTGCTGATCATCCATTCACAGGGAACATGTAAACCTTCTCTGTGTGTTCCAATTGTAGTATATAGGCTATTTAAGTGAGTACCTGCTGTTTTATATTTGAAGACCCTTCTTGCCGCTGGATTGAGAAGACAGCTCCCAACATGGGGATTTGTGGAATGCTTATGGCACCATCCAGCGGGAGATGACAATTGTTCCGAACAGAGTGGCAACAGGGGAAATGGTGAGAATCTGTTGATTCTGGATATTTTTCAAAGGCTGAACCAACAGTATTTCCAGATGGCCTGTGTGTTGAGGGTGTCATTCACCTCTGTACAAAATTACAGTGTCTTATACAGGAAATAGGAACTAAATGGGCAGAGAATTGTATCTCACTAATACTGAAAAAAGGAATAGATTTCTTTTGCTTCCAGAGACTGACAACACCAAGTGAGATACAAATTTTACTAAATAAAGGATGATTTGCTGAAATACTGAATATGTGTTCCGGGAGCCAGTGGAGCAGGAATTTTACAGGAAGACATCAACTTAGAATTCAATAAAGAAAATTTTGGTAGGAAACTACGTATACATTTATGAATCTAGTTAATTATAATAATAAAATACATTTATGGCAAATATTCATTGTATAAATTTATAGGGTGTACCTAGAATGTTTTTCTGTTTTGTATATATCTCTCCTTTCTCCTTTTTGCTGTCTGTCTCCTTTTCTCTCTTCCTTTTCCCTCCTTTATCAATAAAGCACATCTTTGAAATAAAGATTGGCTTTAATCTTGGCTGAAATAAAGAGATTGGGGGTTTGCACACCACGTTAGAGATTAGTAGGAAAAATAGAGCTCCTGGATTCTCAGTCTGGTTATGGCAGCACTAGTGTGCAACACTCCAGGAGTTGAATAATAATAAAAAAAGACTGATATTAAAACACCAGGAAGACACTAGGACAATCAAGGTGGACAATACCCTCCCCCCACCCCTTTTTAGAGCTGTAGATCACTAGAGGCTTTATTTTTATATTGCAATTAAAAAGACTTGAAAAGCACCTCATCAAACAAGCATGCAAAATTGAGAGCAGTGAAGAGCCAATTGGGTGCAGTTAATTTTTAATTATACTCTCTCTCTCTACACTGGCTTTATTTATTGCCAAGCAGCTGTAAGGATAGAATCCACCAGAGGGTAAATCACTAGTTCTGTGTCAACAGGAATATCTTTATAGTACATTGTTCAAAAATAGATTGCAAGTGAGATTGACACAATTCAGAACAGCTTGTTTTTTCCTCCTTAAATGTCATGGTAATACAATCCTGTCTCAATAAAGCAAGGGTCGCACACAAGTGCACAAAATTTGTAGCTCTCAAATTTCTCTTTCTCCCACTTAAGGAAATATGTTCCAATTAAGAAGAAAAATCTAAACACTGAAATTAAGAAAATGACACCATTTAGAAAAACAATCTATTGACGATTTTATATTCAGGTTAAAACCATCTTTTTTCATTTTGGAATTTAAAAGGAAACAAAAGGGACATTGTAGTAATTATGAAGGATTAACTTGATTTTTAAATCTTCCATGAATAAGACTTCACTGCTGTTCGTTAAAACACAGTCATCCTGCACTGGAATCAAACCAAGTTTTGAAGGCTGATGAAATACACCAGACTGGCTACATTCCACCAGAGATGATGCCTTATAAGGTGAAGAGAATTCAGTTTCTCAAAGATATTATTATACAATAGGAGAGGGGTGCTGACATCAGAATACACAGAATGAGCATTGAAGCATAAAATTATGGATTTCAAATTTTCTTTATTATTTTTCAGATCTATAGATCATGGTTGGAATTGTACTTAAAAATAAAATGAAACCTGTTGTCATCCCAAAACCTCACAAAGTTCAGCTATTGGGTACAAATGTAAACAATTGCAATCAGTTCCCAATATCATGGAAATAAATCAAAGGACAAGTTCCTTGGGAGATGTGTTGAGGGATTGATAAAGTGTTGATTGATATTTCACTACAGGTTCTTATTGTGTTTGGATCATGTTGCATGCTATTTATCAAGTGTAAATCAATTTGAGCTTCTCTAAGACAAACATTTTAAAAATCAGCATTTCTATTATAAAAACTAAATGGAAATGCTTAGATCAAAAGATTATTTTTTCTCTTCTCAAATTTAGGATTTTGTTTTTCTGTTTTCCCATACTGAGATGACTGAAACTTTGAAAAACTCTCACAGGGAGTTTATCTTAAATTGCCTTAGACTTTCAGAAATCAACAATAAGAGTACTAAAATTAGATTTGGTGAACATGAGTAAGTTATACTCCCATAAAGGTGTTAAAGTATTACTTTTAACCCAGTTTAATGTCGATCCAAATCCCTAGATTGATATATTTATTGTTAAAGCATTTGAGTGTTTCCCTCTTAACTGTTAGATCCAGAGAAAATTCTGTGCATATGTTTCTAATTTACTCACACTTAGCTCATCGAAGTCTGGTTTTGTGGAGGAAATGTGATGTCCAAGAAGCTGTTGGGAGGCGTTTTTCTTGGAAAAAGGAAATAATGTTCTTTTATTTTATAGTTCACAAACTTACTTCTAAAGATTTGAATTCATTTCAAATGTATGAAATCACAAAGTTCAAGTATGTCCTAAATTTGCCAATGTTTTCTTCCATTTCTGATTATAGCAACATTATAGTACGACACAACAAAACCTCTGGATGTGGGAAGTCGAAATTGAATTTCCAGTATATCTCTCTTGAGACTCCCCTAGACCGAGGCCAAACACTGTGTACAGACATTGTCAATCCATGATGTCATCTTTCCCAGTAATTCTAGAACAAAGTTGGAATATTTTGAGCAAATTTGCTTAATATTAAAATTCATTTTTACATGTTTGAAGATTTTTTTTGCTCCATTGATTCTTTCCAGTCTTTAACGAATGCCAGGTTAAGGTTTTTTTGCTTGCTTGTTTCTGTTTTTTGTTTTTGTTTTTTTAAATCATGCATTCCTTTCAGGATTATTGGAAAGAGACCTGATTGTGGTGTTGAGTTCAAAGACTTTACAGCAACAGAATCGGGATCTTCCAGCTCGCTCAGCTACATGATCAGCAATTTCTAAAATACACACTGGTTGATAAGCTTGCATTTTGGTGAAAAAAAGTAAACAATATCATGCCTAAAAAAATCAAGTGGTTGTAGTTGCTATTGCAGTGATGCAACATGTGCAAATTTTCTTTTTATTGCATCTAAGAAGAAATCTCTAGGATTATGGACAACTAATTCATATAACGAGTTTTGATAGATAACAAAAACCTACATTTCAGGAAGTGAACTTCCTATGGCTACTGAGGCTTATATTGTTTGAGAATTTAAAATGTTCAAGGAAGAGTGTAACTACATTTTAGACTAGAATTTAAGCATATTTAATTAAAATTTTAATCATGCATGATACACTTTTCACCTCCCTATAAAGAAGAGAAGAGAGAGCCTCTGTCACCCTCAGAATCCTTTTTGTCATACCTGTGTCTCCCTGGGTATCTTACCAGCACCAACAATACTCTATCAGATTCCTGGTTCTAGAGAGAAGCACACTGAGTGAATGCTTATTCCATCACAAGCATTTTTCAGGAAACAGATAACACCTTATCTATATCTATCTATATATTCACATTATGTAATACATATGACACACATATGTACATAGACAGATAAGTACCTATGAGTATCATATGTATTATAAATTTTTTTTGACAGGCAGAGTGGACAGTGAGAGAGAGAGACAGAGAGAAAGGTCTTCCTTTGCCGTTGGTTCACCCTCCAATGGCCAGCACACTGCGGCCGGCGTACCGCGCTGATCCCAAGGCAGGAGCCAGGTACTTATCCTGGTCTCCCATGGGGTGCAGGGCCCAAGTACTTGGGCCATCCTCCACTGCACTCCCGGGCCACAGCAGAGAGCTGGCCTGGAAGAGGGGCAACCGCAACCTGGACAGAATCCGGCGCCCCAACCAGGACTAGAACCCGGTGTGCTGGGGCCGCAAGGCGGAGGATTAGCTTAGTGAGCTGCGGCGCCGGCCTATTATAAATTTTTAAACTTCATATTTTTCTAATGCCTCATCATCCCCACAAAGGAATTGTGCAACCCACCCACCGAAACAGGCCCCCCACTGTAATAGATTGACCTCTTCCAAAAGTTCTTTATTTCTTCCTGATGGACTCTTTGTGACATTTAAAGGTGATGTAAGCATTTCTCACACATCTTTTTGCTTGTATACTCCATCTGATCTATAATAAAGTCATTTGCTATGAGTTTTTTCTCTTTCCTCTCTGCTTACTTGGTTGAGCTTGATTCCTGGGAACTCCTTCCAAATAGTTCCCTTCGCTGAGTTTTCTAGCTTCTGTTTAGAAGATCTGTGAGTATAATAAATCCTTTAATTTCTTGACACATTCCAACTATAATTCTCTTACCCATGCTGGAGTGTTCTTTGAAGATCCCAAAGGAGGACTTTCTCCCACACTTACAGCATACTCTTACTTAAAATAGCCTTTATGTTCCATCTGTAACACTTACATTCTGAAAGTGATTTAATTACTGTCTCACAGAAGCATATCAAGATCAAGATTCTATTGTATATTTTGTTATGTAAAAGCACAGAGGGATTGAATAGTAAGCAAAACCCACAAAAATCTCGCTAATCTGTCTTGTGTACAAGTTGTTACTATCTATTTTTTCATCAGCTCTCTGATTGCAAACATCCCCGGTTTGGGCTGTTCTGATCCTTCTTGGTCCAAACTGATGTAAGGCATAGGCCCCTTCTGGGTTGCTGGGAACAGTGTACAGTCTGCACATGTCTGTGCCCAGACTTTTCCCATCTGAGCTCTTCCCTGCACACACACCGTTCCCATTATGACTGTGTGTTCCATTATGTTCTTTACAGTCAAGGTTATATCAGATTTTATTTCCCTCCAGCTTTTAAGCTGCATATGACCTTGCGTACCCTCCTTTTCTCTATACAAAGGTAGAATGATCTCTCTGTGCTGCTTGGAAAGCAACTTAGTTGTGTACATATTATGCTGGATTCAGCATATATACAACC